GGAGTTTGGGGTTCGGGGTTGGGGTTCTAGGGTTAAGGGGAAGAGGTCTCATGAGCCACCCGAAAAAAACTTCAACCCAAGCCCTAACTCTTGGAAACCTCTGCGCCTAAACCCTAAACCCTAATCAAACGCAATGCTGCCACAGGCGCGCTTCGGAAGCCTCCGTTGGGACTCCTGCCAGGGGCCAGGGGTGGGCTGAAAGGATTGTTTGGGTTTAGGGTTTAGGGTTTAGGGTTTTTAGGGTTTAGGGTGTCGAGTTTAGGGTTTAGGGCTTAGGGCTTAGGGTTTTAGGGTTCAGGGCTTTCAGCGCGCGTTCTGGGTTTAGGGTTCAGAGAGCTTGAAGTTCAATCATCTGGGGGGGAAGTGGGTTCAAAACAAAGCGACGTGGTGCTTTGCGATTGAACCTCAATTCTTGCTGGCGCTTCTTCTCGCTGCTTTCCTCCTGTCTCCCTCTCTTGCCCGCCGCCTCTCCAGTCAACCTTAAATCCTTTGTCTAAACCCCTAAGCTCAACAAACATTAGAACCTGAACCCACAATCAATGGATGGGAGCTCATACCCCATTGGTTGTACATTCAAATGCTACCAACACCTAAACCCTAAACCCTAGACCCTAGACCCTAAACGTCCAAAAGGAGAAGGGCTTCACAGGCTTCGAGGATTTCGGGGGCGGGGCGTGGGGACTGGCTAGGGTTCTTCGTGGGCCCTCAATATGGTCCCTTGCGTTCCTGAAATGGTTCTGAAGTCTGGGCCCCTAAATTGTATAATTAGGGCATATTATAAAAGGCATATATTGTGTACCCTAAAACCTGGACCCTAAACCCTACTAAACAAACTAAGGGACCATGTAACTACCCTTAGGGTTAAGGGACTGTTAGAGGATACTATAGAGCCTAAACCCTAAACTCTAAAGGTCTTTTTGGGGTCTTTGTGTGGGATGCCAGGGGTCTGGCGGGTTTTTTGTTCAGTCGTTGGGGGCCAAGAATCTGGAGGGTTTTTGTTCGTTGGGCGCCAAGGGTCTGGAGGGTTTTTGTTCAGCCGTTGGCCAAGGGTCTGGAGGGTTTTTGCTATTATATATATATATATATATATATATATATAACATTATACATATACATTATACATATATGTGTAAGTATAATATATTGAAGTATTCTATTGTATAGTCCATGTTCGCGCTATGGCGCAAAGAGAAGCATTATGCAGATTTTGTCCTGAAACCTTGTACCATGGATTTTCTGCAGGGCATGTCCAAACTTAAAAAGGTACTGCAGTAGCCAGCTGTGGTTTCTCCCGTTTGGGCCAACCCACAAACATAGTTCAGTTGTGTTTTGCCCGTGGGGTTGAAATTTCTCCCGTTTGGTTGTGTTTCGACCCGGTCGCCCCCAAACCCTAAACCCCACTAAACCCTAAACCCTAAACCCTAAACCCTAAACCCTAAACCCTAACCCCTAACCCCGAACCCCGAACCCCGAACCCCGAACCCCGAACCCCGACCCGAAACCCGAAAGCCTAAACCTAAACCCTAAACCCTAAACCCTAAACCCTAAACCCTAAACCCTAAACCCTAAACCCTAAACCCTAAACCCTAAACCCTAAACCCTAAACCATAAACCCTAAACCCTAAACCCTAAACCCTAAACACTAAACACTAAACCATAAACCCTAAACCCTAAACCCTAAACCCTAAACCCTAAACCCTAAACCCTAAACCCTAAACCCTAAACCCTAAACCCTAAACCCTAAACCCTAAACCCTAAACCCTAAACCCTAAACCCTAAACCCTAAACCCTAAGCCCTAAACCCTAAACCCTAAACCCTACCCTACAGAGCCCTTAAACCCTTGATTGGGATCTCCCTCGGAAACCGATCTACGCCAAGCCGCAAGATGCAACGCTGCTCTGAGGCATCCAACGCTTCCTGGGTTTAGGGTTTAGGGTTTAGGGTTTAGGGTTTAGGGTTTAGGGTTTAGGGTTTAGGGTTTAGGGTTTAGGGTTTAGGGTTTAGGGTTTAGGGTTTGGGGGTTAGGGTCTAGGGTTTGGGGGGTTAGGGTCTAGGGTTTAGGGTTGAGGGTAGCAAGCTGGGATTTGCACGCCTTGGAAACCTCTAGCTGCGTCACTCCTCCTAAGCTGCTACCTGGGGTTGTCACTCCCTTAGGATTTTAGGCCCTCTCCCACCTCCCCCGTGGCCACAACCGACAGCCGACATCAAGGAAACCCTAAACCCTAAACCCCAAACCCTAAACCCTCAACCCTAAACCATAAATCGTGGGGTGCATCCTCTAGTTTTCTGGAGCTTATCTGGAAACTTAACCTCTGAAACAGAGAATGCGAATACTGCGAAGGCTGGTAGGACATCCTACATATACTTCAGGCCATGACTGGCGGTGGGCCGAACGCAGCCTATACTTGCTGGGTTCTTAGGGTAAAGGCGGCAAAGGCGTTTAGTGTTTAGGGCTTAGGGTTGAGGGCTGAGGGTACGAGGGAACTCGGTACCCTATATACCCCCTTAACTAATTGGATAACAACTTGCTAATTCTCTCATTCCCGGGTAAGAGCCAGTGTGCCGTGCAGCCTTACGGAAACTCTTCGCGTCTCTGGGGCCCCACGACACAACCCTAGACTTGGTTCTTGGAGTTCGGGTTTGATTCTCACCATACAGTCATACATTTGCTAAATTTCATAATTTTCGATACTTGATGAAAATACACCAGTAAAATGATTGAATAAGAAATAATGTGCAGTCATGACTGCTGTATCACAAAATGTTTGATGTAGGGGTCTCAGGGTGTAGGTCTGGGGCTTTGGGGGTCCAGCGTTTAGGGCCTCTTTGAACAAAACGTTTTTGCCTCAATGGGTCCTTGTCAGCCTACTGATCTGGGGTCCATGAACCCACCTACATCCAGAAACCCAACAGCCGCATGCCCCAAAACCTACGTCCACCCACCCCCAAACGAACCAAAAAAGTGGGATGTAAACTCGACGCGGACACTCGTTGAGCGTACCGTACCCTGGCCTATACCTACGAAATCCGCCGAGGCCTCGGGCCGAAGGTGTCCAGGCTGTGAGAACAAGCCCTTTTTTGGCCTGGAATGGGTACCCCCGTGAGCGACCGGGATCTGAAAGCGGACGGTTCTGGACCAGGGGAGGTTGGCCCCACCCCCCCCAACCCCCCCCAACCCCCACCCCCACCACCCCACTCACCATACCCGCCTGTCTTGAGCCTCTTGTGGTGCACTTCAACATGACTGACCCATGTCGCGATAGCCTGGGGCTGAAAAGTGCTGGAAGTGGTCCAGGTTGGGGGTTTTCGAGCCTGAAACCTGGACTTGGGCCAGAAAAGAGGGCATGGGGGAGGGGAGTGGGGGAGTAGTTGGGGGGCCCACCCCACCCCAACACCCGCCCCCCCCCACCTGCCACCACCCGCGTTCAGCGCAAAACAGAACTGCACCCTTTGTCTGGCAGGCAGGCAGCCCACCCTTTCTGTTTTGACATGGGTATGTTTTGGGTATTGTAGGCGTGGGGGAAGGCCCCGCCTCCAAGGCCAAGTGCATTGTGCTAATGTACGCGTGCGTGTGCCAACTGCATTAAAGTGCCAAGTGCATGGCGCAAGTGCTCTATGCCAAGTGCAGTGTTCCAGGCGTGCATTGTGCCAAGTGCATTGTGCCACGTGCCTTGTGCCAAGTGCATTGTGCCAAAGGGCATTGTGCCAGCTGTGTTGTGCCGAGTGTATTGTGTCAAGGCCATTGCGCGCAAATGTCCCAAGCATTCGCAGTGTTTTATCTTAGTGTCCTCTAAACATGTTCGATGTGTGAAATTTGAAACGCTCGCAGTGTTCTATCTTGGTGTCCTCTAAACATGTTCGATATTTGAAAATTGAATGGCTGGCTTGGCTTTGGCTGGGGTTTGGTTTCGTGATGGGTAGTGTTTGGGTGGCCTCGGGGTGGGCATGTCTTCATACTATTGCGTTCAGCTGACCAACGCTACACCCTAAACCCTAAACCCTGAACCCTAAACCCTAAACCCGCATGTCAAGGCAAGCGGCACCCTCGACGGATCCGTTTCCTTTCAGCTTCTTCGATGAAGAAGAAGCGGGATTCGTGGCCTTGGGAGGTTTTCTTGGCCCATTCATGTCATGAGGGTTTAGGGTTTAGGGTTTAGGGTTTAGGGTTTAGGGTTTAGGGTTTAGGGTTTAGGGTTTAGGGTTTAGGGTTTAGGGTTTAGGGTTTAGGGTTTAGGGTTAGGTTTAGGGTTTAGGGTTTAGGGTTTAGGGTTTAGGGTTTAGGGTTTAGGGTTTAGGGTTTAGGGTTTAGGGTTTAGGGTTTAGGGTTTAGGGTGTATAGCGTTTAGGGTTTGGAGGACCAGGACACACGTGCCCTGTAGCCATGCTCTTAGCTAGCTTTGTGGGCTTCATCCTAAACCCAGACTGTCCCCGAAGGTAGATTTTTCCGATGGATCGCCGCGAACTGAGGACTGCTTCCCCAAACAGTATGAACCCTAAACCCTAAACCCTAAACCCTAAACCCTAAACCCTAAACCCTAAACCCTAAGCGTTCCAACGTGCAAGGGTAAGCGGGGGCAGATCGAGCGGGCCGTTGGGCGCTACTGCCTTGCACGTTGCACGAACATCGCGCTTTCGGCTAGGCACGGGTGTCTATCTAGTTCATGGTTGCTAGGCTGCCCAGTAACTAGGTTGGTATAATGGTAAAAATTTGGATTTATCTTCCTGAGTGGGTTTAAGCACCCTTAAAATTGTAAAATGGTATCCTACTATGACAACGATATACAACAAACCTACAATGCCGAACTGCCGACACGTACGCCCTGAGGCTCCAAGCCCAAAGTAGGTATTCTTTACAGACTTTAGACCGCAACGTAGGTCCTAAACCCTAAACCCTAAACCCTAAACCCCAAACCCTAAACCCTAAAACCGTATACTTGGAGCCCTAGGGCTAAGGTTTGGAGGGTAGAGTGTAAGGTGTTGCAACAGAATTAGGGGTTAGGGTCAACAACCCCTCAACCCTAAACCCTAAACCCGAAACCCCAAACCGTAAACTACGACATACACAGAGCCCTGAAGCCACACATCCTAGAGCATGGGCTGAGGTTTGGCCCCCAAAACCCTCCGGCCCTACGTCCGAAACCCTACAAGCCCTTTTAGCTCGAAACCTAAAACTGCGGGGGGGGGGGGGGAATGTTGTGTTTTTCGGGGGAAGGGTGGGGGGGGCGGGGGGGGGGCGGGGGGGGGTCGGGGGGGGGGGGGGGGGGGGCGGGGGGGGGGGGGGGGGGGGCGGGGGGGGGGGGGGGGGGGGCGGGGGGGGGGGGGTGGGGGGGGGGGCGGGGGGGCGGGGGGGGGGGCGGGGGGGGGGGCGGGGGGGGGGGGGGGGGGGGGGGGGGGGGCGGGGGCGGGGGAGGGGGGGGGCGGGGGGGGGGGGGGGGGCGGGGGGGGGGCGGCGAACAAGCGAAAATCGAAGTTTCCGTGCATGTTAGGGCTATATAGGGTCTAGGACCCATGCAGAACTCTATCGCTAAACCCTAAACCCTAAACCCCAAACCCTGAACCCTGAACCCTAAACCCTAAACCATGTAACCCCCCAAGAGAAATGCCGGAATGCAGAGTTCACGGTCGAGGTCTTCACAGACTTATGTCTGCCCGAAGTGCTCCTGGTGCCGATCACGCTGGCGCTTGGGGTTTAGGGTTTAGGGTTTAGGGTTTCGGGTTTGGAGTTGGTATTGATCACGCTGGCACTTCGGGTTTAGGGAGATGCCTTTTTTCTGGGGTTAAACCCCCTGAAGCCTCAACCCCAAACCCTTCACCCTAAATTTTTCGGAACCCTAAACCCCCTAAACCTGGTGAAGGCTATACACCCCCTAACCCCCTTGAGGCCTAACCCTAAACCCTAAACCCTAAAACCTAAACCCTAAACCCTAAACCCTAAACCCTAAGCCCTAAACCCTAAACCCCTTGAAGCCCAGAGCCCTCAGGTTTCGGCTTCTCTTAGAGCAGGTACATGGTCCCTTCGTATGGGCCCTCAGAAGGGGACCCCTTATATACCCCCCCAAGCTGAAGAGCCTAGGGGTCCATACTTCAGAAGCCTTTAACAGAGGTAAGGGACCCATAATCAGGGCCCATGAAACTACCCCTTAGATACATTATCGTAACCTAAACCCTAAAAACTTAACCCCTAGACCCTAAACTCCTAAACCCTAAACCCTACACCCTAAACTTTCCCTAAGAGTTTAGGGGGGCAGGGATGGCCAGAGAATGCTTTGGGCAGTCGATCATGATGGGCGTGGCCCTTGTGGTGGAACATGTACTCGTCCGGGTTTCGGGTTTAGGGTTTCGGGTTTAGGGTTTAGGGTTTAGGGTTTAGGGTTTAGGGTTTAGGGTTTAGGGTTGAGGGTTGAGGGTTGAGGGTTTAGGGCTTCGTCGTTCGGGGTGTAGAGTTGAGAGCCTCTTAAAGCGATCCATGAATTGAGCCTCCAAGTGACATCCTACACCCCTAACCCTTAATTCTGCAAGCAGGGTTTTAGGGTTTCGGGTATAGCGTTCGTGCGGGCCCAGAACCTCATTCTTTACTGCATTTGGACGGGTGTTGGTTGCTCACTATGTCCACTCCGCTCACAAATTACCTTCAATTACGAGGAAGATCATATATTGGAAGTGCTTGAACGGTTTGAATGCCCCATTAACATAAGCCAACTTGCGAATTCGCACGTGAAATCAGGGCTACTTAGAGGCTCTTCGCGTTTTGTGTCCGAGCCCAAGATTGTGATAGGACTTTGCCAGGCTAAACCCTGAACTCTGAACCCTGAACCCTGAACCCTGAACCCTAAACCCTAAACCCTAAGGTATCTCAGACAACTGCAGGTCTGTGGAGTCTTGGGAGCCCACGAGACTGCGTGTAGCTGCATGTCCCTACACCCTAAACCCTAAACCCTAAGCCCGAAGCTGAACCCTAAGCCCTATAGACCCTTAACACGAAGCTAAAGACCCTCTTATATAGGAATTTAGGGTGTTGATGGTAGGGGCTTGTCTTTCGAAGGGTAGTTGCGTGGTCCATTGGTATGGTCCCCTCCCTTCTTTAAAGGGTTCTGAAGTACGGGTTTTGGGTTTGACAGGGTATATGAGGGGTATATGGGACAACCTAAGATCCCTAATTAAAGCCCCAAACCCCAAACCCCCCCCCCTCCCCCCCCCCACCCCCCCAAAAAACACGCGAAACGAAAACAACTAATTCTAATCCCGAAGAAGCCTAACAAAGCGTCCTGCTTCGAACCGTCCAGCATCGGAGAGGGTGGAACGACGACACCCTCAGGCAGTGTGTGTGTGGGTGCGCGCGTGCGAGGGTGCTCTGTGGGGAGGGGTGGAGGACTGAGGCTGAGGGCTTTAGAGATGCAAGGCTTAGGGTTGATCTTTGAGACTTGATGAGGGCTTAGGTTTGAGGTTAGGGGCTCTTTGGCGCTGAAGCGCTCAGCAAAGCCGGGCTGAATTGTGGGCCCTGTTTGATGCGCTAAAGAACTGGACGCTAGCAGATTCTCTGAACCTGCTGCCCTCCTTCGTGTGCCCCGGTTGGGAGGGGCACATCCCCATGTCAAACATATGGTTTAGGGGTGTAGGGGGTTTAGGGTCTGGGGTTTGGGGTATTTGATGTAGAGGTATTTGAGGTATTTGGAGTATTTTGGGCAGCGTCTATCATAGTTATATGATGTAGGGAATTTGAAAAGGGAACCTTATACACACTCAGCAAAAACAGTACTATAAACCCTGCTTCATATGAGGGATGTGAGGGGAGAATCTTGGCAAAAGTTTCGGCTCCTGTATGAAGCAGTCCCCCCCTTAAGCCTTCAAGCACACCAAGCCCCGCAACTTGAACCCTAAGCCCCGACTCCCCTACATAAAGCTGTACCTGTTCCCTAATTCCCTAAACCCTAAACCCTAAACCCCTAAACCCTAAACCCGAAACCATAAACCCTAAACCCTAGACCCTAGACCCTAGACTAGATGCTAGACCCTAAGCCTAAACCCCATACGGCTTAGCAGCCCCAAAACCTAGGGTGCAAGATGGTGGGGAGCTAGGGTCTAGGGGGAGGGCACAAACAGCTCCCTAAACCCTAAACCATAAACCCTCAACCCTGAACCCTGACCCTAAACGAACCCTAAACCCTAAACTCTAAACCACATTCCAGGCACTCGCTGTCGTCACTGCTCCGCCGCTTGAAGGCCGAGGTCAGCTGGAAAGAGGTGGACCCAAAACCTTCCACGATATTCAGGGTTTATGGTTCGGGGTTTAGGGTTTAGGGTTTAGGGTTTAGGGTTTAGGGTTTAGGGTTTAGGGTTTAGGGTTTAGGGTTTAGGGTTTAGGGTTCAGGGTGTACTTGGAGGTTCATGGGTAGTTAGGGTTTAGGGTTCAGGGTTTAGGGTTCAGGGTTCAGGGTTTCGTAAAGGGTTTAGGGTTGAGGGTTTAGGGTACTTACTACTGTACTTATAAACTTTTTTTACCATATTAGGGCACTTAAGGGGCTGATAAGTGGAATATAAGCACAGTGAAGTGGTAAAGACGTACCCTAAACCTCCAAGTAGGGGTTTGGTTGAGGGGTCTAGGGGTTTACTTTAGGGCTCGTGTTGCTTCTGCCGGGTTTGGGGTTTAAGGGGTTTGGTGACCCGGTTTACGGCTTTGGGGTTTAGGGTTTAGGGCTCAGGAATAGGAACAGTTTATGTCTTAAGTTACAAGTGCCTCCCTTCGGGCCAAGAAGCCCGAAACGCCTGGAAGAGAGGGGGGGGGGAAGGGGGAAGGGGGACCATTGACTGCTACCGTTCTGGATAACTCTGAATGGGAGTCCTCCCAGCTTGGCCACCCACCTATATCTCGGACGCCTTAGGATCGTGATGACTGCACTATGATACCCAGAAGCCTAAACCCTCAACCCTACACCCCAAACCCTACACCCAAACCCTAAACCGACCAAGGGAGGGGATCTCTGCCGATTTTAGACTCTGTTTGCGGCAGTTTAGTGGTGACTACTCCTTCGTTAGGACGCAAAGGCCGTAAAAGAAAGCCTTACGCAAGGAATGGGCCCGATATCCTCAGGTTTTTACCCTTGAAACCTCAACCCTAAATCCTTGCTGAGTCCACTAAACTAAACCGAGCCCGGAGGCCTACGTGCCCACTCGCAGGATTGCCAGCGTCGCTGTCGACGCCCGCAAAGCTGAGCTCTGAGTCCTCGAGCTTCTTCCGAAAGGGGTTTGGGCTTCGGGCTTGGGGTTCAAGAGTTTCCGGAAGTAGGTGTTTAAGGTGTAGGGTTTAGGGTTAAAGTGTTAGGGTTTAGGGTTTAGGGTTTAGGGTTTAGGGTTTAGGGTTTAGGGTTTAGGGTTTAGGGTTTAGGGTTTAGGGTTTAGGGTTTAGGGTTTAGGGTTTAGGGTTTAAGGTTTAAGTGCAGGGCTTTCAGGCGTAGGCCTTACACCCTGATTCATCCCCCAACCTCAACCCCAAAAAAAAGGAAACGTTGAAAACGAAAGCCCTGAACCAAGCCTTCCGGATCTCTATGAGGAGGCCCTAACGAGGGTTTTGGGGTTTAGGGCTTAGGGTACACACCCTCCGGCTGGCGACGGAGCTTTCAGTGGCGAATGACACGTCAGGTCGGCCTAGACTGAGATACCCCAAACTCCAAACCTTCGGGGAAAGGGCCAAACCCGAGCAGGGCCTCCCTTACAGCCTGCATCACTGTCAACAAGAATGATGGAGCACGATCAGAAAGCAAGGAAACCCCAACCGAGGGTGGCGCAAGCTGGGGTAGAGCTGTACAAGTGGGGGGGAGGGGGGGCGCGACAGCGCACCCCTCCATGAGACGCCCTAAACCCTAAATACTAATACTAAGCCCTAAACCCTAAACCCTAAACCCGAACCTTGAATGCCTCTAGGGTTGGGGTCCTTGAGAGAAAGCCCCGGCCTCAACGATGATGATGGTGATGAGAGTTTCGGGTTTAGGGTTTAGGGTTCATGGTTTAGGGTTAGGGTCTAGTGTAAGAGTTTAGGGTTTAGGGTTGAGGGTTTAGGGTTTAGGGAGGGGCTTAGGGCTTAGCTTAGGCTGTAACACCTTACATAATTCAGGTGCTTCCCATCGCTGAACTTTAGGATTCAGGGTTTAGGGTTTAGGGTTCAGGGTCTGCCTACCTCGGGACTAGTTGGATAACCGTCGGCCGCGTGGCTCGGCGCTTCCTCAACGCGGCGAGGGAGCCTGCATCACATCCGCAAAGACCCCTAAATCACACTCCCCCTAGAACCACAAATAAAGGTCATCCGTTCAACAATCCCTTGAGTTTTATATAAACCCTAAACCCTAAACCCTAAACCCTAAACCCTAAACCCTTTTCAACCACAGCAAACCCTGAGGAAGCGCTTCAGGAGGACAAGGGTTTGGGTTTAGGCTTGAGGGTTTAAGAGTCTAGGGTTAGGGTTTGGGGCTTCGAGCCCAATTCAGTGTGCAGTTAAAACACACTGATGCGCCTCTTACAGGAATCCTAATCTTGCAATTTTCTGGGCTAGAAATACAAGCTTAGCTGGGTTGGATAGTACCGCGAGGATGCGAGTAGGGTTTATAAAGTCTAGGCTTTAAGCTTTAGGGCCCGTTCTCTACTTGGAGGTTCATGGTCTTTGTCTTGTCTTGTCTGTCCGCTTAGGTCCCGAATGGTCTGTTGCATTCTTGAAACGCAGGGGCCTGTGTCGGCGCACGGCACTGTGACCGAGCATAATGCTTGGAGGTTCATGGTACTTAATTAACCAATTATAACTGTACTTATAATAACCCACTTAGAAGCACCTTAAGTGCCCTAATAGGGTTATGCTTGGGTTACAAGTGCAGTTATTAATTGGGGTTATTTGTACCCTGAACTTCCAAGCATGTAACGGTTCTTTAGAATGTAGGGCTACAGTCCCTGCACGGGTTTAGGGTTTAGGTTTTAGGGTGGGAAAAGGGGAAATGTACCTCAAGGGTCAATCATCCCTTGAAAAAGACCTTTAGAACGACCCCTAAACCCTAAACCCTAAACCCTAAACCCTAAACCCTAAGCCCTTAACCCTAAACCCTAAACCCTAAACCCTAAACCCTAAACCCTATAAACCCTAAACCCTAAACCCCCAACTATGCTTTCCCAGTTGCTGGGCTGACGTTTCAGCATGGCAGTCGCGCCGGGTCCTCCTGCGGGCCTTGTCTTCTCAGGGTTTTCGGGTTTAGGGCGATGCAGCTGCGGGGGCTTAGGGCTTAGGGTTTAGGGTCTAGGGTTCAGGGTTTAGGGTTTAGGGGTTAGGGTTCAGGGTTTAGGGTTTAGGGTTTAGGGTTTGCTCAGTGTTAGTTTGCAATTTTTTCGGGATTCGGAAACCGACTACTTACCGAAAAATCTGCTACCTCAGAGCCCAGGTGCATCTTGGGAGAGAGGCCAATTTGCGCCGAGCGTTCCGCAAGTTGCTGTGCTGAACGCTCTCCAAGCGAAGAGTGAGGCACTGCTCCGCCTTGTGACATCTTGGGTTCGTTTTTAAGGGTTTAAGTTATATTGCTTGGTGGTCTCTTTAAGTAGGGTTTCTGTTTTTTGTATGGGGTTCTTATTCGGGTATCTAGGGGGTGTATTAACGTATAAGGGCAACAGATAAAGAGGCCACCGGCCTTTATAAGGTTTAGGGCTTCAGGGTGCCAGGGCACTACTATCTACTTTCCAGAGCAAAGCTAGACCCTACGCCCTAAACTCTAGGGGTTCTACCTTGGACCCTTAAGGTTGTCCCCTTGGGTTTTGGGGACCCTTTTTAAGGATCCCTAAGGGAATATAAGGGCCATATTGAGAGTATATTAAGGGGAACCCTTAGGGGTACAACCTTAGGGGTACGAGTCTTCATCCCTTGATAAACCCCAGGCCCTAAACGACCTGTGACACCTATGCCCTGACAACTGGGCTACGAAATCCCCACTCCCAGGATGAGAAGCGTGGTCATTATCAAACAGCCGGCCCTAAACCCTAAACACTAAACCCTAAACCCTAAACCCTAAACCCTAAACCCCGAACCCAGAAACTCCGAACCGTGTGGATGGTAGGGGCTTGCAGGGCTTCGATACTAAACATCCCGTCGTCAATGATCCGGACCCATTAATCCAGGATTGGGGTTTGGGGTGTTAGGTGTTAGGGTTTAGGGTTTGGGGTTTAGGGTTTAGGGTTTAGGGTGTAGTGAAGCTTCAGAATTTGAGGACTATCTAGGACAACGTTCATCTACTTTTCGGTGGTGTTGTGCCACACTTATAAACTATAGGGTACCTATCAAGTTGGTTTTGCAGGTTTCTTTTCAGGGGGACGATGTGGCCCTAAACCCTAAACCCTGAACCCTGAACCCTGAACCCTAAAGCCTAAACCCTAAACCGTACAACAGACGTAGCAGAGTCCCCTTTAAAAAGGCCCGCCCCAAAAGGAGACCCTCTCAGAGTCGGAGACCCCACATGCGGCTGTTTCTTAAGGTAGGGTCCCCCCGCAAGTGTTAATTGAAGTTGCTTTGAGGTTCTGTTTGGGGTTTAGGGTTTAGGGCTTAGGGCTTAGGGCTTAGGGCTTAGGGTTTAGGGTTTAGGGTTTAGGGTTTAGGGTTTAGGGTTTAGGGTTTAGGGCTTAGGGTTTAGGGTTTAGGGTTTAGGGTTTAGGGTTTCGGTCTAGGACCTAGGGTTTAGGATTTAGGGTTTGGGATTTAAGCGTAGGTTTTGGGTTTTAAGACCCTCAACCCTAACCCTTTAAGCTTACCCCACTTCAACCATAAACTCTAAGATCCTGACCTTCCCCTTACACCCAAACTTATCCTCTTAGTGGGCTGATATCGAGTTTCATTGGTCAGCCCTTCGAGTACTCTGTAAGGTCCTGTACAACTTTCGAAACAGGCTGCTTTGGGCACAGATCCACATCTGACTTGGGGCCCTACACAGTTCGACTATCGCTCTGCGTGCAGACCCACTTCTTTGTACAGGACATTGCCTCGAGATAGCTTCATGGATACTCTGGGGACTGCCCTATGATCTATACCATAGACCGAAGTTCCTGACTTCAGATGCACCCGTTACAACCTTCGTTGTCCAAAATCCTAGGTAAACGAAAGATTCGCCAATGGGATTATATAGGGAATCCCCTAAACCCTAAACCCTAAACCCTAAACCCTAAACCCTAAACCCTACAACCCTACAACCCAAACCAAAAACCGCTCAGTAACCCGCCAGGCCTGGGTGGCGTTTCACGTCCGCCTAGTGGCGTAGGGGGGGGGGGGGATTCGGGTGTAGATCGGTTATGGGTTTTGGGTTTTAGGGTTTAGGGTTTAGGGTTTAGGATTCAGGTTCTGGGTTTAGGGTTTAGAGTTTCGTGTAGAATGTTGGTCATGGGGTCTTAGGGTTTAGCATTTCTAGCCCCAAAAACCAGAGGCCCAGACCCCTGGGAGGATCCAAAAAAAGTAGGACCCCCAAATAGTACCCTATAATGTAGGGTCATACTTCAAAACCGTCAAGGGATCTACAGTTTGAATCGTTCCAGCGATTGTGGCCCCTCCCGCCCCCCCTCCCCCCCCCCCCCCCCCCCCTCCTGCTTTCCCCCTTCCCCTGCCCTCCAGCACCGTTGAAAAACCCTAGACCCTAAACCCTAAACCCTAAACCCGAAACCCTAAGCCCTAAGCCCTAAAAGCCCTGTAAGCCCTATAAGCTCGAAACTTTCGGGAGTCTCACCTCATAGCGCTCGCCGAGCAGACGATGGAGCTCCCAGAAGTCCATCATCGGCGCCGTCGGCGCCCTTTGTAAGAGAGACAGAGAGAGAGAGAGAGAGAGAGAGAGAGAGAGAGACGGAAAGCACGGCGACAGGAAACCCTAAACCCTAAAACCCTGAATCCTGAATCCTGAACCCTAAGCCCTAGACCCTGAACCCTGAAGCCTGAACCGAACCCTAAACCCTTTAAACCCTTTGAACCCATTAAACCCCTTTTAAACCGTAAACCCTGAACCCTGAAAGAACCCTGAACCCTGAACCCTGAACCCTGAACCCTGAACCCTGAACCATGAGCCGAACCCTCCTAACCCCTTGCAACCCTGAACCCTAAACCCCGACCCTTAAACATGCTTGGTTGGGTTGGGGGGGGGGGGGGTGGGGGCGGTTTGGGGGGGGGGGTTTGGGGGGGGGGGGGTTGAGGGGGGGGGGGGGGGGGGGGGGGGTGGGGGGGGGGGGGGCCGAGAGGGCTCGGGCGAGGCGGGGCGGCCGAAAACCGGGGCTGTGTGGGGAGTAATAGCCACGGAAGGGCTCGAGGAAGAGGTCCTGGTTGAGTAAAACCGTACGAAACTCGCTGGTAAGGGAGACCGCCTCTAAAAGAGTCACATGAAAAGTCAAGCCAAGATGCGAGATTTGCCGCCTGGCAAAGCCAGAGCTAGCCGGCGCACTCTCCTCGAGCTGGGGGTGCGATACCACACAAAAGTTAAGGATTCTCAAGGTTTAGGGTTTAGGGTTTAGGGTTTAGGGTTTGGGGTTTGGGGTTTAGGGTTTGGGGTTTGGGGTTTAGGGTTTAGGGTCTAGGGTTTAGGGTTTAGGGTTTTGGGTTTTTCCAGAATTCCCCCTTCTAGAGGCCCTTATACCCCAGTAGTAGGATCCTTATGCTTGTGTGGTCTTGGGGCCCCGAAATTGAGCCCGCCGAAGCTGTCGTTGCGGGGTGTAGCCCTCACGGTTCAGGGTTTGGAGTGCAGGGGTTGAGGTCGAGGGTGTTGAGTTTAGGATGTGGCTGTGAGGGTTTAGGGTTTAGGGTTTAGGGTTTAGGGTTTAGGGTTCAGGGTTCAGGGCTCAGGGTTTAGGGTTTAGGGTTTAGGGTTTAGTTAGGGTTTAGGGCTTAGGGCTGAGAAGTGAGGGGAGCCCCTAATGATCTTCAGTATAGGAAAGCCTCCTACGTTTCCATATAGGATCTTCTTCACCAGCATTCGATACTCCTCAATTCAGGACAGTTCTCCCCCTAAACCCCAAACCCTGAGCTCTAAATTTAAACCCTGAACCCTAAACACTGAACCCTAAACCCTAAACCCTAGACCCTAAACCCTCAACGAAGTATGGAGCCCCAAAAACCACCCGAAGTCCTGGCGATTGAACGGCGAATGTGAATGCGGCGCCTCACAAACTTAGGGCTTGTTGAGGTTTAAGGTTTAGGGTTTAGGCGATATAGGGTTTGGGGGTTAGGGTTTGGCGGTTTAGGTTTAGGGTTTAGGGTTGAGGCTTTGGGGTTTAGGGCTTAGGCTTTTCGAAGAGTGCCACTACTAAACAGCAAACCCTAAACCCTAAACCCTAAACCCTAAACCCTAAACCCTAAGCCCTAAGCCCTAAACCCTAAACCCTAAACCCTAAGCCCTAAACCGGTAACCCAAAACCCTGGCCATCCAGACCCCGAGCTACGTAAAACCTAAGCCCGACACCCTCAAGCTCTTCAGCCCGTGAACGTGCCGGACGCCAGCTGTATAATTCTGCACCCTGGTTAGGGGTTTAGGGCTTAGGGTTCAGGGTTTAGGGTTTAGGGTTTAGGGTTTAGGGTTTAGGGTTTAGGGTTTAGGGCTCAGGGGGCTCAGGGGGCTCAGGGGCGGCTCAGGGGGCTCAGGGGGCTCAGGGGGCTTAGGGCTTTGGGTTTTCTGCGGCTTAGGGATGTGAGGTTTCGGGCTTGGTAGGGACAACCCCTTGGTCTGCCTAACTCTCCGGAACTTCAGAAAGCCCCCTAAACCCTAAACCCTAAACCCTGAACCCTAAACCCTAAACCCTAAACCCTAAACCTAAATTCCTAAACCTCCCAAAACTCAACCCTCCACCCTAAACCCTAGACCTTGGGATGTTCGCCCTTGCACTAACAGTCCTGAATAGGGATTATAAGAAGGTGTACGATAATCCCTCTTAAGGACTGCTAGTATAAGGGGGAACCTAAACCCTCAGCCCTCCACCCTCAACCCTCAACTGACTTAGTGCTGGTTAGAAGGAATGAGGGAATGAGGTACTCTATACCCCCCCTATAAATACAGTTGAAGGGATTATACAGGGTACCTCATTCCCCCATTCCTTACTAACCAACACTAACTTAAGGTTCGGGTTCCTCTGAAGCACCCGCTCCCCTGGACGAGCCTGGGACGGCACCGTCTCCGATATCTGCGCGGGGCATCTCTACTTGGGGGTTCAGGGTACTTATTAACCCGATTAGAACTGTACTTATAACTGCACTTCTATAGATCCATATTAGGGGGTGCATAAGTGGGCTAGAAGTAAAGTTGTCATTGGCTAGAAAGTACCATGAACCTCCAAGTAACATTGCTGTGGAGGTTCATGGCACTGATGGGGCTTGACGAAAAACACGGGCCCCGGATATAGACTCCAGAGAGTAGGATTCCCTTATCATGAGGACTTTCGGAAACCCGCTCATGAATCCAATCAGAACCAGAACTAGGTTCGGCGGGCTTTGGGCTTAGGGGAAGGTTCATGGCCCTCTCTCTCCCAGTTTTGACTGTACTAGGAGCGTCTCAGTGGGCTATAGCTGCACTTGTACTAGACCCACCTAGGAAAGAAAAGGATGCCCTTCTTGCTTCAAAGCGGCGTATAAGGAAACCTAACCACCCAGAAAGGGAATGAGGGCCCACTCTGTCACCTTATGCTAACTAACTAACAGCCCATAATAGGGATTACCAAAGGGGTGTGTGTGAGTGAGTGTGTGTGTGTGTGTTTCTTTAATGTTGCTTGGTAGCCCAGTCACCATGCCACAGCAAGGGCACCCGTTTTGGGGTTGGTTACTTTATACGGGAGCCTTGAACCAAAAAAGGAAAGGGTACCACTGGGCTATCAAGGTTGTGAAAGAACCTCTGGATAAGCTGGGGGTTCTCCATTGCTCCATCTGAAGAAGTCACAGGCAACCACCGCAGTAGGGTTTAGGGTTTAGGGTTTAAGGTTTAGGGTTTAGCCCTGAACTCGCACCCCAAAACCTGAGTTGAGGGCTGCGCCCGCAATTCCCGCCCTGAACCCTAAACCCTAAACCCTAAACCCTAAACCCTAAACCCTGAACCCTAAACCCTGAACCCTGAACCCTGAACCCTAACCCTAAACCCCGAACCCTAACCCTAAAACCGAAGCCTTGGCCAAAGTAACTCAGACCTAAAACCCTAAACCCTGAATTAAAACCCTGCTTGAAAGGTTCATGGTACTTTTAACCCAGCAATAACTGCACTTATAGCCCAATTAACCATATTATGGCACTCAAGGGGCTGATAATTGGGGTATGAGTACAGTTATAATTAATTATTATGTACCATGAACCTCCAAGTAAAGCTGAACCCTTAACTACGCAGTAACCCGAAAAACCCGCCCAAAAAAGACAAATAATAATAATAATAACAACAACAAATAACTAACCTTAATCTCCATAGCTCGCAGCTTGAACCCTGCACCCTGTTCAAGCCCTCGTCCCCCAAGCGAAAATGTCTGGGGTTTAGGGTTTAG